GGACACTGCGTAGGGCTTTGTATGCTGGCTCCAGATCGATACATCGATTAATTGAATGCTTATCCGAGGAGCAGGCTTCAATAAATTCTCAGTTTGTCTTGTTTCCGACATGGGCTGTGATGCCGACGCCTGTGAAGTTGAACTCGTGACCCGTATCGTAGGTGTGGACAACCACTTGTGGTAATTCGTTACCCCATCGCATAGTCAGCCCATGTTTATGTATGCGCGATCCGAAAATGCATTCAGTCCGAACTGTGTAGTCGCAAGGATAGTTTGTGCATGGGATACGACACGTTCTCCCAGACTACTCATTGGGATTTATTCAGTCTCTAGTTTTCATGATTCTGATGCGCATGGTAGCTTTTGGCGGGTGTGCAATTCGAACACTGAGTCCCGCAGCAGTGCGCTCATTTGATATCTTTTCTTGTATAAACGCGTACGATAGATAATATCCTGATGTCTCAGCACTGTATATTTTTACGTGCGTTCTGACCTGTCGAGGAAGTACATTGCTATTATTCCTCCCTTATGAATGAATTAAGTTAGTCGTTAGTTGGTCGTGTATACCTAGCATTGCTCTCGTTCCGTCTTAAGCTGACTGATTGGCCGGTGCAAGCTGAACTAAACATGTGCACACTTGCACATCATCGCACATATGCTCAGTTCGAGGTCATTCACCGTGAATGCGCCGCTTAGTTTAATCGCCAACGCACAAAGCCTTTTGCACACATACCTAGTCCGTTCCATTCTACGGTCGTTATTGCTTCGCCAATGTGCTCCATTATATCGACTTAAGAGGCTTCTTCTGCTTGTCGGTCCCGGTTTTTTATCTAACGGCACATTTTCTACCCTGTTCACACATCTCTCTAGATAGGAGTGATTTTGTCATGAAAGTCCCCTATCGTTTGGCTTTCCGCTTCGTCCGTATTCGTACGCGCTTTACAACGTCTCCAACGTTGTCAGCACTGATAGCCTTATCCAGGCCTACCTTTAGGAATATATTTATGTGGCATAGGGGTTTCGAGAAAAAGCATATGCGGTCGTTTGCTCGCCGTAATTAACAATGACCATCCCTGTTGGGAATGCCTCCACGAGAGTGCGCACCGCGGCTATCGATGTCTCATCATATCTGGTGGACTTCATGTCACCCAC